AATCTTCTTATAAAATTTTATTGACTAAACAAAACTTGTGTGGAGAAGATATTTACATATATGTGTTAGGAACAAATGTAAGTATGTATAGTTGTTCATCACAAGAAATTAATCTTCTGGCATAGATATATCAAAGCCCAACATGCAGTTTCATTACATTTTGAGCTTGTCTTTACTCGTCAGCGTCTTCCTTGTCATTCCAGAAACAAGAAATTACGAAAAATGATGCAATTAATTTGATTTATGTAAATTCATAAACAAGAATAAACTTTTCTATGCAAACGATAACTAGAATCAAACTGGAAAGTGTCAGTTTGGAGAGAAATACGAAAGATTTTGGCGCACATCTACTCGGCCTTGTTGCTATGCAAAAAAAGAATCTTATTGGGCATAAGGCTCACCTTGGCCTTTATCGTATATAGTCAGTTAAACATCAAAACATGAAATGGGTGTGGCAGCTTCTGTGTTGACTTTTATGACAAACCTTGCTACAAGGTAAACTTTGACTTATTTGATTTTGAAGCTTTGATTTTATTTTTCTTTAAGAGATAATTGCATCCTTGAAAATTTTCTGATTCATTTCTTTATGAAAACCATATTGCTATTATTAATTGATTGATTGTATGTTCTTTAAAGCCCCATTCGCGAATTTTTCACTCAGATAGAGACGTCACCATATGACGATGAAGGGCTTTAAATTTAGATCTACACTCGGCACTCAGGGCCATTGAGCATGAGGGTTCTTTATCGTGCCAGCGCCAACATTGACACGAAACCTCGGTTTTAAGGTCTTATCCAAAAGACCCATGACTTTCACTTCTCATGCCGGGCGCTGGGCGAAGGAACAGTCATTGCCTATGTTTACTTTTTAGCATGGACGCTGCGCGGCGAACAAGAATCGAACCCTGTCCTCCCGATCACAAGCGACCTGTCACACTACTATTATATTTGTTTTAAAATATCTTGATAATAATTAGATGGATAGTTAAAAAATTACATGTACGAGGTCGTAATTCTAGAAAGTTTTAAATACATCTCTTTCATTGCTCTTCCGTCTTTGTAATGTAGTTATCGATAATTTACATGTAAAATTATATGCACTATCAACCACTTGATTGAATATTTTAATGAAAGATATACGTGTACATTAAAAGTAAGCGCTTTTGTATTTTATGAATCTGAAAATACTCAAAAGATGGATCTAGTAACTATTTTACCAAGCCTCTTTCTTTAACCTCAATTCAAAATATTAACTGCAGTGAAGGAGAAACTGCAGCAGCACTGTGAAACAATATATTCTCGAAAAGTTTTATTACCCAAAGTGGATACTAAAAAACTCCAAAGGACTTTTAGAAGATTAGGAATCACAGAAGTTTGCTAAAATAAATAGCACAAAAACATATGACATTTCAACACTTTCATTTTCATGAAAAATCAAAGACCAGTTAATTAAGTGAAGACTTTTTGACACAGACACAGACAAATGCTTCTTCAATAAAAAAAAAAGAAGGAACTCCAAAATTTTCATTTCTTATGATTATACAAAATTTAACTTGTTTACTTTGCTTGTATTTACAAACAAGGTCAATATATCGGCCGTAGAGTTTTCAAAATGCTGATTTTAAACGGAATTGTTGAAATCATTGCAACAAGAACTTCTTTGTCAATAGTTTGAATTGTCTAGGTGTAGAAATAAATCACACTCAGAGCATGCTCTTGCGTATCTAATCAGTTGGGGGACATAAACAACATATTCAGGTGATGTTGGAATATTACTACATCAATAATGAACGTTGACAATGGAAGAACTGGAGTCATCTCTTTGTCATACAGTTTAGTTGTTAGTTGGACGTAATCGGCCATAGTCATTAAAATATACAAACATGAAACATATGTGACAGCCTCTGTAATGTCTTTACTTTGGAGTTCACTAGGATATATGGGGTCGTCATATGAAAGAAAGGAACTATTGTAAATTTCTAAAACCTCTTCGATATATCTAAATGTCGAGTTGAAGGCCACAGCAACAGTTTTTTCTTCGCATGTAGAAGTTTTTGAACAAATCCCTGTTTCACAGGAATATCAAATGATCAATTTCTATGACTATACAGGCTATTGACAAGTAAGTCAATATTACAAGGGTATCAAATATCTCGTTTAAAGTCAACATTTTGTAAACATATTCAATGGTCGATACAATGACCTATTAGCAAATACAACTTGTCGATAAGCTGAATGTTGACTGATGTTTTAAATATAAATGTTTAAGCCAATTTTTACTTAATCGAATACGGTTTTACCTAATTATGAAAAAAAGGCTTAAGGAGGGTGTGACCTGTCGACAGAGGATACTTTTTCCTCCATGGCACCTGATCCAATATCTTAATTTTTCTGGGGTCTGTCATTGCACTGCTCTCAATTTGTATTACGTATTTAGATTTATAAGGATGATTCGTTTGCTATCTTCTTATTTCACAAATATTAAGGATATCCGATCCTCAGCCAGGGAGGATAACTCTTAAATTTAATATTTTATCTAAAAAGTCTCAAAATGAGGCTTGGCATTAAGATCTTTTCGAGTAGCAATTTTCATTTTTGCATCTCAATATGATTCAAGATTCTTTGAAGTCTTAGAAACTGACATTTGTACCACATAAAAGAAAAAAAAATCATTTTAGAGAAATCGAATTTCCTTTAATCTAGCATTAGATATCAATGCTTATTAGCATGATATGAAATAAGACGTGATTCGTGATGTCTAGCAATGATAACCCAAGCACATTACACTATGTACTACATAACAGAGTACTAAAATACTGTATCAGCATAAAAAAGATCAAATTTTCTTCAAATGCCTGATACCTATAATTTTTTATCCTAGAATATATTTGCTGATCAATTTTCAACTAGAAAAGGCATAGCTGGTGTTTTTATTTGCGTAAACAGAAATATATTTGAGATTTGATAATTTTCCCTATATAATATGATAAACTATAATGATGAACTTTGAAGAAATACCATGGGTAAATTCACGTTACTCTGTGAAATAAGAGACATTTTTGTGAGCTTTTTCAATTACTTAAAAGCTGATTTTTCAGAACCTGAGGATCGGAATACCTTACTAATTCAACGTGTTTCTTTGTTGTGTTATACAGATTATAACTATTGCAATCAATGCAGAAAAAAGTACATATCTAAGTAACGAAGGGTTATATATATATATATATATATATATATATATATATATATATATATATATATATATATATATATATATACATATATATATATATATATATATATATATATATATATATATATATATATATATATATATATATATATATATATATATATATATATATTTATATATATATATATATATATATATATATATATATATTAGGGATGTCAAATCGGTCAAGTTTTGATAATCGGTTACTCGGACGTTTTTCCGATCGAGTACCCGGGTACTCGGTACATGTAAAAATGTAAATACAAGTGTGTTAATTTCCTTGGGCCACGTTAAGATCTGTTAAACCCCGAAGCCGTTTTTATCACGTTTATGAAATTAATGTATATAAACATCGAGTCCAATGGAATTGATTTTTTGGTACTAAATTTTTTTTATCAAATAACAAAAGACACAATTAATACATCAAAAATTGCAAATGGTTTACAATCTTGTTTAGAATCTATTTCATCAACACAAACAGACAAAAGGGGAACAATCTGTTACACAGGTTTGTGATGATTAGACTAGCGAAAGGGAAGGAACGGACGTTGTTGGGATCGCTAGTCTAAGTTGGTTGTTTCCCGCGTATAAACTTACTATACAAACTGACTTTCAACATTATTTTGAATCTTAAGTTATTTCTAAATATATCTTCACTTTTGAAGTGGGTAGCGGCATTTCTATGTATGTCCGATTTCGCTGCCATATATTAACTGAATAATTTAAAAATGATTTGAAGATTATAAACCATACTTAATCGAATCGATGTTCACTGTAAGCAATCATTGAAGCCATCCAAAAATTAAGGACCACAAAATGTGAGAACAGCTGTGTACCAGGTGATTGGTCACTAATTACTGTATATACACAGCCACAGGCGATAACGGGTTTTTACAGGTATAAATGACGACACGCTAATAACCGTTTGCAGTTTTAAGTTGTTTTTCTTTTTTGGACAATTTTTTATAAAAAAAAATGTACTTCGAAATAAGAAAAAATACACTTCCGAGTAACCGAGTACCATTTTTAGTATTCGATACTCGGACGTTCGATCGAGTACCAGGTTAACCGGGTACTCGTTGACATCCCTAATATATATATATATATATATATATATATATATATATATATATATATATATATATATATATATATATATATATATATATATATATATATATATATATATATATATATATATTGTTTGTTCGATTTTTTGTTTGTTTGTATGTTTTTTTTTTTTTTTTTTTTTTTTTTGTTGGGGGGGGGGGGGTTAGCATGTTGAAACCTTTATATCCTGACAGTGTATAACATACCGAAGAAAGTGTTTACAATCTATGATTAAGTCGAATGCTGACTGACGTCTTGGAATTTTAATATCTAGGCCATTATTTACACCCTGAATTATCAACGGATTTTTCTGTTTGCTCGATCATGACAAGGAGCACACGAGGGGTGTGACCGGTCGACAGGGAATGATTACTCCTCCATGGCACCTGATCCCACTTTTGATGTCTTAAAAAGTCCGTGTTTGCTCTGCTTGCTATTTGTTTCAATTCAATAGACTTTTGAGCTTAATTACTATTCGTTATCTCAATATTTCATGTAAATAAATTTAATGTGTGCTATTTAGATTTTTAGATCCATTTTTTAAAGTTTTTGTTGTTAATTATATTTTTTAAGTACGCTGTTGTATAAAATCCAATCAAAATTCAATTTCCATAAAATCACCTTATAAAATTTTATTGACCATAAAAAAAATCGTTGGAGAAAAGATATACATACATATGTTAGCAACATATGTAAAAAAAATATCAGTTGTAGTTCATCACAGGAAATCTTCTGGGATATGTACATGTAGATATATTAAAGCTCAACAGTTTCATTTTCAAAACAACTAAACAAAGGCACGACCTGGATGATAAGGAATGTAATCATGATACATTTGGAGGCTGCCTATACTGCGTCAGCGTCCTCTTTATCATTCAGGAAAACAACAGATCACGAATATTTGAATAAATTTCATTCAGATGTTATGAGCATATGCTTTAAAACATATACAAACAGTACGAATATGGATTTAGACTCTTTTGACATTTTGCCTAAATCGCAAGCAATATTTGAATTACGAATCCCTTGAACAGATTTAAACTCTTTAGACATTTTGCCTAAATCGCAAGAACTATTTGAATCGCGAATCCCTTGAACACTGACAGGATTATTAAATCTTCCGGCAAATAGTATGACGTCATTTACAGTATCACGAATGAAAAAGAGGAACGGATGATCTGCTCGAAACTCTGGAGATAATTGTCTAGAAATAACGACTCCCGTGGCTGCGGCAGCTTCGGTACCTTCTTCATTGAGATCGACAAAGGCTTTATGGAAAACCTCGCTCATGAATACATCTTGATCTTTGTATATGCCTGAAAAACTAGCTCTGCTTGGGTCAAATGCTGATGGCATACCCAATGCCGATAAATAGCACTTCAACTGAAAGGAAGACTCCATTTTGAATTTTGGAAGGTACACTTCAACTTGTTGTCCTTTTAGGGTGCTCATTGCGTTTCTAAGGGTAGTCTCGGTCAAACTCCTTTCCACAGCCTCTAAACCATCCACAGCAACAGGGAGAAGAATTACCATACTTATTGTTTTACCCTCGTAGGGAAGCTCAAGGATGTCAAGCCTCAAGTCTGAAACATGACAAAATTTAAAACGGTCTATCTGGTACATCATGTCCGTTATAAATTTTGCTTTGCCATTCCTGAATTCCATTTTCTTCGTGTCCTTAGCTTCAAATTTACTGTTCCAAATTCCTTTGAAGTAGATAGCATTTACAAGAACCATTAACGTTTGGCTGCTTAATGCATCGGCTGGAATAAGATTTTGGATTTTGTTTTCTGTTTTCTGACTGACCCAGGAATTGATTTTCTTACTTGACGCTTCAGACTGGGAAAAATCCACTGATTCTACTGTTGCACTGAAATATTTGGCAGAGCTTTGTAGAAATGATTCTTCTGCTGTATACCTCGTGCTTTGGTAGATTCTATTTGCTGTATTAAGTGTGTTGTTTCCAGTAGCCTTCGAATGAAACTCTAGATACCTGCCGAATGCGGAGTAAATGTCTCTATCGAGTTTACCAAAATGAAGAGCTTGATTCATTTCTTTTAGTGTTTCTCCTCCTGCTCCCAAATGAACCATTGCAAGGGCCGTAGAAATACTAAAAGGCGAGTAGAAGATGTTGGATTCCGATGGTAACTGCTTTAAGAGATTTAACATAAATTCTTTGTTTGCTTTTGTGAAGGCTGTAGCAGTGTCCGAGTTTTGAAAGGCAGGGTCAGTTGTCGTCACTTTATGTGAAGCACAGTAAATAAGTAAAAATACAAAACATGCCGCACATCGTCGATGAAAGGAAACCCCGAGCATGGTTAAGATGTGATCTTCAATACCCAGTCCTGTCTAAAATGATTAGATCATTTAAAAAATATAGAGAAAAAAATGCCATTTTTTTTAACTGTGTAGATATTTATATATCTGTATTTATAGATAAGTGCAAAATACAATGCTTACAGGGATATCAACTTTACAGTGTTCAAGATGCATTCTATGTTTTGTATGACAGAAAGGGAAAAAAAAATTAAAAAACATACAATAAATTAAAAGACTTCTTCATTAACTGATTTTTCATCAAGATTTCATAATGCAAGAATACTAACATAATAAGTAATAATAATATAACACTATTACTAATTTTTACATAAATATTCTTATAAATTAGTTCTTTCATTGAAATAAACTATCAGCATGTAATTACTGGATTCAGAGAAGTAAGTAACCCTTATGCGGGAAATTTAAGCAACCACCTAATTTTCATTATAAGCAATGGTCTTGGCAATGCTAAAAAAATGTCGGTAATGAATAAATCACAAATATTGTCAAAAGAAAATAAATAGCTATCCCAAAAAAATGATGATAATAATAAATGTCTACTTTTAGGAGAAAATCGCTGTATTTGCCAGTTGCTAAAATAACCCGTTATACGGTAAGTTGTTTCATTAATAAATGACAGATGTACTACACCATAGTATTTTGAATGTTTTTCTAATGCGCAGCAAAGTTGTTTTCCTCAAAATATCAATTGATATGTAATTGTACCTATTTTTGTTGAGAAAAAATCGTCATGTTTTACTTACTGTCAATGGAAAAATCTACATGTAGAATATCAGAGCAGCAAGTGCAGCATTTGGACAAAACCCTCAAGCAGTCAGTTTCTCTCAATTTCACTATATATTTTCTCTCTTTAATTGATCGATCTTCATGTCTGCTGCAAGCTGTTTACGAGTTATGCTGAATCTATGCCAGTTGAGCGGCTTTGTGCAAAATGCCGAGGATGGCGGCTCTAATATGGAGTTTCACTGAGTGCATGGGGTGGAGCCTCTTATGTCAATTTAAACACATTTTGCCAATTTTATCTTTCATTCAGTTTTAGACCCCTTCGAATTCTCCACTAAAAAATCTTTTAAGACTTTATGAGTTTCTTTGGAATAGCAGCGCTGGATATAAATCTTGTCGCTGTGTAGATGTTTCCCTTGCACTCAGCGTCTGTTATCTAACAAAATTTAAATCAAAATCACTGGCCATATGCCCCCTTTTGATTTGATATCCAAGGGTAACTTTTTGACTGAATATCATTATTGTTATTTCTAGACCGTATCTCATTCTTTGCGAAAAGGAAATGACAACAATGCACAAAAGGATAATTTTGATGCTATTTCTGTTTTATTCAATTTCTGTTATCTTAAAGCAAACCTGTTCCCCTTGTTTACATGTTAAAGTCACGAATTATTGCATTGAATCCTAACTGTTTCTCCTTAAAAGGCTTCATAAGATATTATCAAAGAGTTGAGCTTCGGGATAAAATATATGTACATTCATTCAGTCATTTTCAATGAAATTATCTTTTAATCTTTTATTTGGATAATGTGACATTCAAACGAGTTCTTACGGAAGATTATAAATTGAAATGACAGATCTCATAAGCAAGTGCTAAAATTGCAACAAAATTATCCACCCCTTCCATCAGTCGACTAAAGAGGCTCAACTCTTTGCGCTATCTGACACTCTATTTTTGAGACTCCATCCTCTGCGTTTTACACCAAGCCCGATTGAGCTTGTGCTACACTATAGAGGCACCAGTCGTGGATACTGTGGGGGGGGGGCTTTGATTTTTTTTTTTTTAGAAGAGATGGTAAAAAAAATATTTTTTTTCTTACAGTTAGGGACAAGGTAGTATTTATCACCAGGGTGGGGTAGGTGCAGAGTAAATGATGAATGAAAAGTATTGGTCCCCTTCCTTAAAGAATGGGTAATGTATGTATCCCATTCTTGTTGAGTGATCTCTCCTGATATACGAAATATCTTCTAGTTTCTGAAATTAAAAATTGTTCTACGTTTCTATAATAAGTGAAGAGTAATTACTTGAATGCCAGTTTCACTATTCATTACAAGGGTTTATAAAAATCAAACTGTCATAAGTAATGATTTTGTTGACAGCTTTTTGTAACAACTTGTCCGACAAGTTTCGTAGCATCCAAAGCAGCAGGGAGAAGAATTTCCATGCTTATTGTTTACCCTCGTAGGGAAGCTCAAGGATGTCAAGCTTCAAGTCTGAAATTTGACCAAATTTGAAACGTTCCTCTGGTACATTATGTCCGTCATATATTTTGCTTTGCCATGCCTGAATTTCATTTTTTTTCCTGTGCTTTTGTTTCAAATAGACTGCTCCAGATTCCATTGAAATAGATGGCATTTACTAGAACCATTAATATTTGGCAGCATAATTGCTGGGATATAAGATCTTGGATTTTATTTTCTGTTTTCTTAATTGACGCTTCAGACTGGGAAAAATCCACTGATTCTACTGTTGCATTGAAATATTTGGCAGAGCTTTGGAGAAATGATTCTTCTGCTGTAAACCTCGTGCTTTGATAGATTCTATTTGCTGTATAAAGTTTGTTGTTTTCAGTAGCTTTCAAGAGAAATCCTAGATACGTGCTGAATGAAGAGTAAATGTTATTCATTTTGCTAAAATAAAGAGCTTGATTCATTTCTTTTAGTGGTTCTGCTCCTGCTCCAAACTTAACCATTACAAGGGCCGTAGAAGTACTATAAGGCGAGTAGAAGATGTTGGTTTCCGATGGTAGCTGCTTCAAGAGACTCAACATAAATTCTCTGTCTCTTTTGTGAAGGCTTCAGCAGTGTCCGAATTTTGAAAGGCAATCAGTTGTTGTTACTTTATATGAGGCACAGTAAACAAGTAAATTGCAAACATGTATGGTATATATGTGTTCTTTAATACCAAGTTCCCTCTAAAATGATCAGATTATAAAAATGGAGGAACATTTCCTTTTTTTAATTGAGTAGGATATGTATGTGTCCGTATTTATATATATATAAGTGTACTTTTTAATGCTTATAAGTACATCAATATTACAGAGTTCAGGATGCATTGCATGTTTTGTATAAAAGAAGGGCAGATGTAAAAAAAATAATTATAATTCACAATAAAGGTTGAGGCGCTTTTGACGTCAAATTGGATTCGGCAGTATCTCGGCGCAATGAAAAATGAAAATTTCATATACAGTACAGCTCACGAGTTTTTTCACCACACGGTGGAAAATACACGGTGTAAAATACTCCGTGTTCCACCGTGTACACGGTGTTACACGGTGTGCATATATTGCAAATACCCAAAGGGCCACGGTGGCGCACCGTGTGGATCCTCGGTGGAGCACCGTATGCTTTCAGAACTCGTTGGTTTACGGAATTTACGCCGATTTATACTGTGTTTAATTCATTGATTTAGACAATGCAATTAAACCATAAGAAAGTGTTAAGAATGATTTTACGCTCCTTTAGACATGCCGATTTTGTAGAATTATCATCGATAAAATTCACCGGTTTTTTTTTTTTATTCAACTTGTAAGTAACGAATAAACAACAAAATTAAACCTTCCAAAAGAATAGAAAAGATAAACGAAAGAAAAGAGAAGAAAAGATATTCACTGCAGCAAACAATGTTCAGTGAAAAATTTATCAATACCGATTTACGATTATTATAAAATGCGTTTATATTTATTTTAGTCTTAACTAATTCCAGGTAGTAATAGCAAAGCGTCAATTAAATTGGCCAAAAATGAGTGTTAAAGTACGTGCCTGTAATTCCAAAAGTAAAAGTCAAGGGAAAACACTTCCTAATTTCAATAAAATTTAATTTTAAATTTCAAAGTTCATTTTTTTTTCAAACTGTATAAAAGTGATTTTCTGCACCATGATTTCTGTATCATAACCAGGCCCGTAGGAAGCAATTTCAGTTTGGAGGGCACAGCCGAACATTTTTCAGTTGACAGTTGAGGGGGCACTACCCAAACTTTCCTGATAAGCACAAAAAAGTCATCAGACGTTTCTATTGAGGGGGCACGAGCATATAGTATCTATGTTTACTATAGTAGCCTATATATCGGGAAAATTATTGGGGGGTACTGCTCACCCACCCCCGCCCCCCGGTTCCTACGGCCATGTTAACGACCAACTAATGGATATAACAATTCATTATTTGTAAATTTGAATTTTAATTAAAATTATTGTGCCGTATGCAGAATATTTACTACTTCTACAGTTTGTTTTCTTGATTTCGTTATAAAATATAATGATTGATATGCAAAAACTCATATAAGTTGCTTTCATCGTATCTTACGCTCTCATTGTGGGGAAAATTCGTTGTAAGAACTCTTTATAAGATCCTGATTTGATAATTTATGAATGTATTTTTTTTTTAAAATAAAGAGAAAACAGAAAACAAAATAAAAATAACTTTTCAAATTCCATGTTCACTTTCAAATATAACCCAAAAATACATCGGTTGCTCCTTTGGGGTGATGGTTTGATGGATTTTCATATCATTGTTGCGTAGTATTTTATAATACCAGCTACATCGTTCCTGATCGTTCGTTTATGTGATATACATCAAAAGTGACACTTGTACACTTTGGAATGAATACGAAATTTGTAAAACACTCTAATCCCCCGTTTTGTGGTAAACGGTTGTGCTATTCACGCTTCATAAATCTGAAACCGTAAATTAATTGTATGAAATATTCGTGTTTGAATGCATTCATTGCATAATTTCCTTTCTTTCTTAAAAAAAAAATAATACGAGTAATTTATCTTGTCCGGAATCACTGCCTCAATATGACCCTGTATAGTGTACTTCACGTCAGACAAGGTCAGTAAAAAAATCGATTTTCATACATATGTATGTAAAAAAAAAAAAAATTCTGTTCCTATCTTACTCCATATACTCTATGTAAGCAAAAGAAAAATTAAATGGATGGTTGAAACAAACAAATCATGTTGTGTAAATACCATTTTCTTGATAAACTACATATTTCATACATATT